GCTTGCCAGGCAGGCGCTGTGCCGCTGAGCTAAATCCCCAGCCCCTACTTGTGACCCTCTTTCCTCAACCTCCTCGGTAGCTGAGATTACAGGCATGCAGCCATCATGCTGGTTTAGAAGTACATGTAGGGCTGGGGATTTAGCTCAGCAGCAAAGTGCCTGCCTGGCAAGCACAAGGTCGTGAGTTCAGTTCCCGATACCGGAGAAAAACAAAACAACAAAAAAAATAGAAGTACATGTAATAATATGGTACCCACTAGTCACGGGTGGGTACTGAATAGCCTGATTCGAAATGTACTGAATTTTGAAGGCTTAGTATGCAAATGAATGTGGGATAACTCAGTAATTGCTTATGGCCAGGCATGATGGTGCACACCTGTGGCCCCATCCATCTGGGAAGCTGAGTCAGGATAGTAACTTCAGGCTCAGCCTGGTCAACTTTTTTTTTTTTTTTTTTTTTTTTTCTTTTTGAGACAGGTTCTCGCTATGCAGTTCAGGCTGGCCTCAAACTCACAATGATCCTCCTGCCTCAGCCTCCCGAGTGCTGGGATTATAGGCATGTGCCACCATGCCAGGCTCAACCTGGTCAATTTGACCACTTAGTGAAACCTTGTCTCAAAATAAACTTTTTGTTTGTTTGAAACAGGGTCTCGCTATGTACTTCAGGCTGGCCTTGAGTTCACTGTGTAGCCCAGGCTGGCCTGGAACTCATGACAGTCCTCCTGCTTCAGTCTCCCATATGCTGGGATTATAGGCATGTACCACCATGCCTGCCTACAAAGTAAGTTTTAAAAAAAGCTGTCAATGTACCTCAGAGCATTGGCCCTGGGTTCAATCCTACTCCCTCACAAAAATTATTTAAAATAAATTACACGTTAAAATAGTATCTTTAACATACTGGGCTAAACAGTTACTAAAATTAGTTTTACCTGTATCTTTTGCATTTTTAATGAGATTACTAGAAAATGTAAAACTATGTATGTGGCTTGCATTATACTTTTATGAGACAGCACTTTTATCATTTATCGGAGCCTTTATCATTTACTTACCTCTTTGTGGGGGAGTCATTTTTTTTATTTTTTAAGTTTTTGTTAGTTTATGTTTG